GAACCCCCCCCCCCCCACACACACACACACACACACCACCCCACCTGAATACGTCGATGAACTCGGCACCGATTGCTTTCCGCTTGGCCTCTGGGTCGCTCAGCCCCTTGAGCCGCCCAAGCATGCGGTCTGCGGTCGACCGGGGGGCGCAGAGGGCAGGGGCTGTGGATACCCTTCACACAGCACGCAGCAGATACCCGCCGCCGCGCGGGCAGGGGCCATGGCCAGCCTGCTCGTCCCCTGCCTGCCTCCCTCACACGGCGTCCCTGTGCCTGTCCAACAACCCCCTGCAACACACACACACACACACACACACACACACACACACACTCTCATGCGTACACACTGCCCCAGCCGCCCACCTGCGTCGTCCACCTTGCACACGGGCAGGTGGAGGTGCTGGTTGAATGTGTCCATCACCCGCTCCGCCTCCTTGTACCGCAGCAGCCCGTTGTCCACAAACACGCAGTGCAGGCGGTCGCCCAGCACCTGCGCCCACGGTTTTGTGTGGGGGTGGAGCGGCGGCGGAGGGGAGGGAGCAGAGGGCAGGAGTGAGGGGCGGTGGAAGGGCAGAGTGGGTGAGCGAGGGAGTGGCAGGCCAAGCAGGCATGCAGGCGGGCGATCGGCTGGCGAAGAGTGGGCTGCTGGCTCTCCGGCAAAGTGCAGGCCCTGCCCCTGCCCCTGCCCAGCCCCTGGCATGCAGGCGTGCATGCGCGCCTTGTGCACGAGGGTTGCCGCCACGGTGGAGTCCACGCCTCCCGACAGGGCGCAGATGACGTGGTCGGTGGGGCCCACCTGCAGGGCAGGCAGGGGGCAGCGGGGAGAAGCCCCAGCAGCAACCAGCTCAGTCGCGCCGGCCGGGCATAGCCATGCAGCTTACAGCGGGGCACACCCCTGCTGCACGCGGCAGCCGCAGGCAGCACGGGTGCCTCATGTGGCCCTACACAGGACATCCTGGTGCTGCTGTTCCGCTCCGTCCGCACACCCAGCTGACAGCCCAAACGCGCATCTCAGCACCAGCTTGTGCACTTTGCCACCGCGGCGCTGTGATTAAGCAGTGGTAGCAGCAGCAGCACCTGCAGCCGAATCTTCTCCATCTCCTCCTCCAGCACATCCTCCATCCTCCAGTCCCCGGTCATCTTGGCAATGTCAAACAGGAAGTGGCGGATGGTCTCCGCGCCGCGCTCGCTGCAGGCGCAGGCGCGGCGCAGCATCGAGCAGGCACGGTAAGCACGGGCAGGGGCGCGCGTGGCAGGCAGGCAAACCATGCCACAGCAGCAGGAGTGTGGTCGCAGGCAGCATGGTGCCGCTGGAGGTGGCGGCTGCCCGGCGAACCGCCACACCTGTGCACCACCTCTGGATGGTACTGCAGCCCAAAGATGCGGCGCTTGGGGTGCTCAATCGCCACAATGGCGCCCTGCAGCCACGCAGGCAGGCAGGCAACATGCAGCGTGTGCCGGGTGGCTGCACAGCTGAGGCGCTGCCCGCCACAAGCATCCAGGCTCCAGCAGCCTCCCAAGTCCACGGTGCTGCTTGAGCTGCACTGCAGCCAGCCCTGCGCGTGCCAATACAGCCGCTGCCACGCCAGGCCCTGCCGTCCGCTCCTCCCTGCCCCCCATCTGCTCCCGGCCAGCTCGCCCCCCCTCCACCCCTGCCGCACCTGCTCGCTGCGCGCCACCACCGAGAAGCCGTCCGGCAGCTTAACCGCCTCGTCTCCGTGGCTCATCCACACCAGCTGGCTGTCCTGCTCCTCTGTGGAGAAGAGGGTCGAGTCGCGCACCACGTTCATCGGCATGCGGCCATACTCGCCCCCTCCATCCGCCGTCTTCACCTCGCCGCCCAGCTGGTGCACAATCAGCTGCGGCAGGCGGGACGGCGTGCAGGCGGGCGCATGTGGGCAGGCAGGCAGGCACACAGCATGCGCGAGCAGCCTACACAGGCCAACCGACGGCGCATTGCTGCGTGCACCCCGCTACCGGCGCCGCTTCGCTCCGCGACGCTGCGCAGCAGCTGCGCCGCACGCACGCTGGTCCCCACCTGCATGCCGTAGCAGATGCCCAGTACCGGGATGTCATTCTCGGCGCAGTACTCCCAGAAGCCGTCTGGCACGCGGGGAGCCCCCTCAACGTGCACAGAGTTGGGCCCGCCTGAAAGGATGATGGTCTTGGGCTGGGCGCCCTTGATGCGCTCCTGTTGGGTGGCGCAGCAATGCCAGGGTTTGGAAGGGATGTGACGAGGGACCAGGCTGAGGCGGGCGGCGGCTCGGGCAGGTGCAACCGACGGCGGCGGTCGGGTGGCGGCAGCGGCCGCCAGATGGTCATGCATGCGCGCCCGCCACCCACCATCGTCACGTCGCCGGGCATGAGCACAGACAGCACGCCGCTGTCTCTGATTCGCCGCGCAATCAGCTGCGTGTACTGAGAGCCATAGTCCAAGACGCAGCAGACGGCGTGCCGCGTGAAGATGCTCTGCCCATCCTCGCCCCTGACCCGCTTGGCTGGGCTGGGAGCTGACATTGGGCTGCCGCCAATTGTCCGTGCCGCCGGCGGCTCACTGCTGCTGGCCAGGGCAATGCAGGAGGCTGCTCCGATCCTAGCACGATTGCCAGGACGCCGCCAGAACCCCACTTGCGAGACGGCGGCAACGCTGGGCGGCAAGGGCTGGCGGGGACCAGGCCTGACAGCTTTGCACGAGTTGATGGTAGGCGAAAACAGATGCGGGGCCATATGACGAGTCCTCGCCGCCTTCCAGGCACCCGTAGCATTCGAATTGCAAAATTTGGCTGAGCTGGCAGGGGCCTACGGGCTGGACCCACGTGTGGGGCTATCGGCGTGCTGCCATCGATGCAAGATCATTTGCATCGGCGCCTGCACGTCTGCAGCACCCATGCCGGCCCACTCAGCAACCCTACTCGCTCCCTGCACGCCTCCAGCGCGCCCATTCTGTTCCTGGCAAGCCAGACGCCCGCAGGGACGCGCTCCCAGGCTGCGATGCAGCTGCCACTGGCAGCAGCAGGATGATGACTGGCGGCAGCGCGCCGTCGCGGCCGCCGCCGCCCTGCTGCTGGCAGCACAAGGCCTGGCGGCACCTCTGGAAGCCGCAGCAAGCTCCGCAGCTGCCGTCACAGCACCCCTAGAGCAGCAACAGGCGCAACAGCAGGCAGCAAGGCAGCTGCCATCCCTAGACGCTGTCAGCAGCCTGCCGCCGCTGCCAACCGAGTTCCCGCCTCTGCCGCCGCTGTCCCTGCCCAAGTACAAGCAAGTGACCCTGAAGAACGGCCTCCGCGTGTTCATGATCGAAGACAAGGAGATCCCTGTTGTGCGGGGGTCCCTCCTGATGCGCGGAGGGCAGCGGGCCTCGCCCCCAGACAAGGTGGGGCTGGCTTTGGAAACCTGACCGTCTTGGCTGGCTGGCCGCCGGCACCCTGCATCCCGTGCACGGCGTGCATGCCACAGCTCAAACAGCGCTAGCCGCCTGCATCACTGCAGGTGGGCCTGGCCAGCCTGAGCGCGGCGGTGCAGCGGTCTGGCGGCTCGTGGCAGCACCCCGGCCAGGCGCTGGATGATGCTCTGGAGGACCGGGCTGCATACATAGAGGGCGGCGCCGGTGCAGAGGCGTTCGGCTTTGGGTGGCAGTGCCTGCGGGAGGACACGGCAGACGTGCTGCAGCTGTTTGCAGAGGTGTGGCCGTTGTGCTCCCGCCCTAGGGCCTCCTGCTGTGCCATGCGGCGTTGCCTCCTCGGTGTGCCGTGCCGTCGAGGGGACAGCATGGGCTGCTGTGCAGTCGCCTGCAGCAGGGTTTCCGCAGGCTCGCGCCAGCCACTGCTGGTTGCCTTGGCAGTGGCGTCATGTGCATGAGCCGCGTGTGAGGTGCGTGCCTGTCTGGCTGTCTGGCTGGAAGTGCAGGTGGTGCTGGATCCGGCGCTGCCGCAGGACAAGCTCGACCTCGCCAAGTCTCAGGCAAGCTCTGGGCTTGGCGCTCCTGAGACGCGTGCCAGCCCGCCAGCACCTGCAGTCCAGCCCCACCGCCTGCTGCCACGCCGCTGCCAGGCGCATCAGGCTGTATGCGACTACATTCGCTGGTGCTCCGTGCCGCCCTGTCCCCCCCAAGCAGGTGCTGAACTCTCTGGAACATCGGTACGACAACCCCAGCTCCATCCCCGCCCGCGAGCTGCCCAAGCTCATCTACGGCCGCGACAGCGTGTATGCGCGGGAGCCCACGCCGGAGCAGGTGGGTGGGCTGGGCAGGGTGAGGAGGAGGCGTGGCACGTGGTGTGCCTGATGGCTCCACCCTCTTGCCCGTGCGCCCACCGTGCTGGCACCTTGCCACGCTGCACCCGCCGTCCTGGAACCATTGCCATGCGTAGATCGCTGGCCAGCACTCTCCCACCACACGCACACACCACGCATGGCTCGTTTTACCAATTCCATCCGCAACCCACCCCAGCATGCCCTGCCTGCTCCCTCGCCACCCACCCACCGCAGATTGCCAGCATCAGCGTGGACGACATGAGGACCTTCCTGGCCACCTGGCAGCGCCCAGACGCCGCGGTGCTGGGCATTGTGGGCGACTTTGAGCCCCGGCAGGTGGGGCCAGGGCGCCGGGCAGCGCTGCCCACCTGACTGACGCTGCTCGAGGCCCGAGCCCGCGCGCTTTCAAGCACTGGGCCTGCGTTGGGCCTGAGCAAGCGTGCAGCGGGGCACCTCTTTGAGCTCCCAGGTTTGCTGGCGCTGCTGTGTGGCTGCACTGCACAGCCACCTTCCCACCTGCGACCTGCTCCTGTGTGAGCGCAGATGCAGCGGCTGGTGGAGGCAGCCTTTGGGGGCTGGGCGCCGCCGCCGGGGCAGCCCACGCCGCCGCCGCTGCCCGCCCCGCCGCTGCCAAACCAGGCCGGGGTGGCCGGCAAGATCTTCCTGGTTGATGTGCCCGGTGCCGGGCAGGCCAGCGTGGCGATGGGCGAGCCAGGCGCGCACCCCTGCCCAGCTGCTGCTGCGCTACGCTGTGGCCCGCCTGCCCGCCTGCCTGCCTGCCCGGCCAGGCCGCCACCTACCAGGCCCGCATGCACCCACGCCTCCACCTGCCAGCGCCCAGCCTTCCCGCCCACCTGCCTCTGCGCCCTGCCCGCAGGCATCCAGATGATGGATGTGGATGAGTACCCTCTTGAGATCCTGGGGTCGCTGTTCAACGGCTTTGGGGGCCGCCTGTTCGACCAGATCAGGTCCCGCGAGGGCCTGGCCTACTCCGTGTCTGGCGGCTGGGCCTCCACCCCCACCGACCACCCGGGCCTCTTCCTGGCGGCCGCAGAGACGGCGCGCCCCGCCGCGCTGCTGGCCGCGCTGCGCTCCGCGCTGCAGGACGCCGCAGCGGCGGCGCCCAGCGAGGAGGAGGTGCAGAGGGCCAAGGAGGTGCGGGGCGCGGGGCGGCGGCTGGGCGGGCCTGGGTGCCTGGTGGGCTCCCTAGCAGCTTCGCTCCAGCGGCAGCTGGGCGGGCGTCGCCCACACTGTCACGCCCTCTGTCCATGCACCCACGCCTCCACACACCATCGCCGCGCCACCCACCCACCCACCCGCACACACATGCACCTGCGCACACACACACACACTGTGCTGTCAACCGCAGGAGGCCCTCAACCAGTTTGTCTTCTCCTTTGCCTCCCGACCCGCCCAGCTCAACCGCATCATCACCTTTGACCTGCTGGGCATCCCGCAGGACTATCTCTTCAGGCAAGGTCCAGCCCGCAGCACCCCTCTGGGATGTGTGCCGAGCTGCTGGCGTGGCACCCGAGGCACCAGAGCGGAACAGAGCGGTGACAAGCACGCCAGGCGGCACGCTGCAGTGTGCAGGTGTTTGTCTGAAGCTCCGCATGCTGCCTTCTTCGCAGGTACCGCAGCGGCGTCGAGCGCGTGCAGCCCGCCGACGTGCTGGCAGCAGCGCAGAGGCGCCTGCATCCTGCGCGGCAGACGGTGGTGGTGGCGGGCGATGCGGCCTGGCTGCGCCCCGAGCTGCGCGGGCTGGGGCTGCCCATTCAGGATCTGCGGCTGCAGCAGTGATGCCAGAGGCGTTTCATTGCTCTTTCCGATCAGTTGAAAGTCCCAATTACAGCACCGCAGGCCTCAGAGAGGTTGTTTGAGCGACAAGAGCATGCAGCCCTCAGGAGCTCAGCAGTGACTGCAACAGCCCAGATGGCGTCTTGGTATCATGCATGGTATCAAAATGAGGAGGGGTGTTTTGGAAAAGGAATGACCGCCGTGATGCTGGCCCAATGGCGACTGGCCAGCAGATGCCAGGACATGAGACGTATGTTGTGAGGCACCACAGATAGACCGGCAGAACCGATAGGAAAGGTTCCCAACAACAATGGTCAGAGTGCCTTGAAAGGGTGGGTCGACTAATGATGTCGGTCGACTGCTGATCAGCAGGAGTAGGTTTGAGGTGTTGTGGCATGTCAGCAGACCAGGCTAACAATGCCCTACAGCTCAGTGCGCTGTAGATCAGCCGCAAATGGCTGCCTCGCCTGTGCAAATGTAGGTAATGTAGACGTATGGGGCATCTCCTAGCGCCCAGGGCTGCACAGACGGCGCGCGGGGGGGGGGGGGGGGGGGGGGGGGG